ATATCAATTACTCCAATCACTATTTTTTAAAAATTTACACTCTAATTTTCGCTTACGTAGCAATATAGTTATTTCGATTCATTCGTTGTCCCACCATGAGCATTAAAAAAAAAATCTACCTAACGATTAAATATAAAAATTTAAAAAAAAAAAAAAAAGTCCAATCAAATAGTTCGAAAGTAAATTTAGTAGTAGAGCATAACAATTTTATTTTGTTATTTCTCGTGAATCGATACCTCTAAAATATATACCTCACAATTTATTAATCAAATAAATTACATATATATATATATATATATATATATATATATATATATATATATATATATAGAGAGAGAGAGAGAGAGAGAGAGAGAGGGTGCGGATCCCATGAGACCCCCATGTTAAATGAAATCATGAGATCTTATCCCATCCATTAATACATTCCTAATGGATGGTTGGGATTGAATGAGAAATATGAAGTAATTAAAGACATATTATAATCAGAATGATTAAAAAGTAATTATAGTAGTGTGTTAATTTTGGTTAGAATTAAATAGAAATCTTTAGCATAATAATAGAGAGAATATTAATGGTAATAAGTAGTAATTATTTTTTTGGTGAGAGCTGTACAACAAAAAAATCGTGCACATAGGAGTGTTACGCACACATCACAATGTTGTTTGCACAAACGATAAGACAAACGCACACTAATTCCTGCACACACCTACGCAGCAAATTTAAAAAAAGAAAAAAAAAAAAACAACGAAACGCACAATACGATCTCTACTATGCGCTTTCTATCCACTTGAAAATGCGAACGTCTATACAAAAAGCTGATTCATGTACTTAGGCTTGTTCGTTGTGTATTTCCAATAAACTTGCACCACCCAAAATGAAAACAAACTCACGCACACGCCATACCAGACCAATGCACAAGCCATACAAGACCAATGCACAAAAAAGCACGCCATGTAACACAAACGCACACCCACGGACGTATTAATCAATCTCAGAATTCAAAATATAATTAATTATTTAGATTAATAGGATCCCTTATATTATGGTAAATATTCTATTTTACTTATAACCAAAATTAAATACTATAATACAATTAATCTTTCACCCTTTTCTTTTGAAACTATCATTAATTAAATGTTAGTTGACTTTTAATCCTATCCATCAATTCTAACATTTTTAATGGTTGAGATGAGATCTTATAATCTCATCTTATTTAGATAATCTCATGAGATCCAAAATCTATATATATATATATATATATATGTGTGTGTGTGTGTGTGTGTGTGTGTGTGTGTGTGTGTGTGTGTGCGCGCGCGCGCGCGCGTGTGTGTGTGCATGTGCGTGTGCGCATGCACGCGCGCATTTAATGTTATCGATTCCTTAATTTCTATGTTCACCAAAAGATAATCTGACATTGATGTAAAATCTAAAAACTGTCACACTAGTAAGACCAACCACATGACGACCATTAAGAACAAAATTTGCCTCTATATATAGTAATCGTTGGTGAATTAATTGCTATGGTACTGGATAAATAATGAAATTAATAACTATTATATATATATATATATATATATATATATATATATATATATTAAATGTTATTATAGAATATATAGAAAGAGGTGACAATATTTTTTTAAATAGTGAAAATTAAAATTAATATTTTACTTTAAAAATGCCACCGTTATTTCAATTTATAAGTATAATAGTAAATGTATTTATTGCATTAATTATAGAATATTTCTAATATATATTTGCAATTAACAATTGCACTGTAATTCTTGGCAAATTATATCGTGCACTAGGGTGCACAATGCATTGTACGCTCAAAAAATTATGTGTATTATGTTAATAGTTTATGTGTATTATGTATTATGTTAGATTATGTGTGTTATGTTAGGAGTTTATGTGTATTCTATTATGCATACACATAATTGTAATTAAATCAATAAGAAACCGCTACCTTTTTAAAAGAAGGGTAGCGATTAAAAAAAAAAGACGGAACGAGTTTCCGCTGCCCTTTCTCGTAGCAAGGGCAGCGGGCCAACGGATAATTATATTACTTTTTAATTAATAATTTAATATACATATCCGCTCATGATATTTAAAAAAGAAAAAAAAAACCCTCGAAACAGACGGAGAGAGTCTCTCACAACCCTCAACAGTTCTCCTCAGCCGTTACACCTCACCTCACCAGCCACACCCTCCCACTACACCGCGACTCCCTCAGCCCTCATCCGCCGTCATCGTCGCCGACAGCAAGCTAAGGAAGCCCTCATCCGTCGTCTCCTACCACCACAGTTCTCCTCAGCCGTCGTCACCGCTAGTTCCACCGGTCTCATCGACTCCTCTCAGCGGCTGCTTCGATTCACCGCCGCCACGCCCTCATCCGCCGTCTCCACCGCCACAGTTCTCCGCCGCTTCGATTCACTGCCGCCGCTGCTTCGATCACCGCCGCCAACTGCTCCGATTCCTCTCAGCGGCTGCATGCACCCCTGGTGCACGATATAACAATGGGTAATTCTTTGTGATAATTAAATTTGAATGATAGGCCCGTTTCCGTTAATTGGCATAAATTAACAGAATTTTCGTATTAAGGAATATAATTGAAATTTGAATAAAGTTTAGGTTAGTACTTAGTAGCAATACTTCTCCCCTCACAAGTTTGGATAGTCAAACTATAACGTATTCTATAATTACTTGCCCACGATATTCCTTAATTAATTACTATACTGGGAATAGTATAACAAATAAATATACATTTATTTATTATTATTTTATAGTAATCACACTGAAAATTATAGTTCAAATACTTATTATGTGTAAGGTGAAAATAACACATCTTCTAGAATACTGGTCACATAAACCAACTTCATGGTGTTTGCTCTGGCGTTAAATAAAACATAAATCAAATTGAATAATTTACTATATATGGGCTAAAAAGTTGGATATATTACATTTATATAAGAACTAATATACAATTTAAGGTTGGTATTGATACACCATTTATATATTTGTCGAATCAAATTCTATCCAATGCAAGTAATATGTATGCGTTTTTTGTGAATCCTTACAACTTACACCTATATATGTATTGTTGTTCTTTTTGTCAAACATTCTCTTTCTTTCCAAGTTTTTGCTATTACTTATAAGTTCCAATCCTCATGTCAGGAAATAGTTTGAATTTCCAACATATGAATGCAAATGTTCCAATCAATATTTGGAATCCAGTGGTTTGTCGAGTTTGTAATGCCCTTCTTCCAAACTCTGTACAACTTTTGTACCATTTTGAACATCATACAAGACAAGGTGTAGTCCTCTCACCAGCAATCAATGGTGCACCAATGCCTTTTGGATCACAAATCTCTCAAATTCGACCTTATCAATCTACTTTTAGTGAAAACACAATTGCTACAACGTTATCTAGGCAACATCCAAATGGTACTATTACTAGTCATCCTCGACGAGGAGCGCCATCAAATTTTGTTGGGGGACATGGCATAAGGTCAGAAAGGAACAACTTTAACTCATCAATGAAATTAAATTCGGATGACTGCACTCTACCTCTTGTGAATCAATTAGAAACCCCCTTTGAAGACGCAACCATATTTTGCTCCTGCCAAGAGGATGAAGATGTCAATTTAGCCCTTACTTTAAAGCTTTAGATAAATTTAATTATCAATCATTTACATTATATAGTCTCTATATTAATGTAGCTAGATTTGAGATTTAGCCAACTACTAGGCTATTAAGCTTTATTTAGTCATTTAATTTATGTTTGAATTTGGTTTCTCCGTTAAAAAAAAAAAATTGAAATACATTATCTTGAATTCAATAAAGCTTTATTGTTTTCTTTTATGTCTCATATTCAAATGGCATACACAATTTTTTTAAAGAAGAATTAAAGGGGAAAATAATTAAATCGTCCATGGGCGCGTGCGAAGCACGTGCGCATTATTAGGCACCATGTATGATTCCCAATTATCTATTAGGCACCATATATGAATTACCTATGTGAGTGAGGAGTGGGACCACTTCAAAGAATAATGGTATAGACTCAATTCTTTAGAAACTGTAACAGAACCCAAGTAGGGTGTTTCGATCCATTGTCAAAATGGACACACCCATGATAATGAAACAAACATTGGGAGGTTTATGTGTGATATATCGTCATTTACTCAAAGCGACAAGCTCAAAGCTATTGCATTCTACTGGATAGTTAGTAAACTAAATATATCTTTACAAGGAATAATTCAATGTGTAACATCTAATTATCTTATGCAGGGATCATTCATTGGACAATGTCATGTTTTTTTATAGTCTCAAAAATCAATTTTAATTCATGCGGAGATTGTTTAAAAAATGACATTTAAATTACTCATATTGAGTTAATGTTTTTAGTGTGGTCCACCTCCAATTTGGTTTAGGTCAAAGTGTACCCATTCATTTGAAAAAATAGAGCTTTGAAAGGCTTTTAAATAGCATTTATCCCATATTAAAAAGGTATGTGGGTTTGTACTAATATAAATACAATTCAACATTTTGAGTTTAAATTGTGTAGCATAGAGACTTTCTCTCACGTGTAGAGGAGGGGTGCAACCCAGGTTCTTAGTTGGCTAAAGGAGTCGCACATGGATGGTCTCAACATGTCTTCTTGGCTATTCGTAGTGTTCTGTATGGTAGTGCGTTTGGTTTAGTAGTGAATTATGTTAAAGAACGAATAACTACTTTTGATAGTATGCAGTTCTCTTGTGTTAATCGGTTTGCGAACGATGTTGCCCATGTTGTTACTAGAGAAGCTCGTTCTTTGTTAGGTTGTAAAGAGTGGCATGTCACTCTTCCTTTCTTTTTATGTTATGCTTCATGATATTTCTTGAATGAAGTTATTTTTGTGTTTTAAAAAAATAAAGTATTACTTGGGGCTGTTCCTGTTATAAAATATAAGTTAAGGACTACATTTGGATAATTAGAAATCTTAGGGACTAAAAAGTGTCCTTCTTTCCTTTCAATCTTTCATGTTCACGGCTTCTTTGTTTCACACTCCTCAGTCCTCACCGTTCATTCTTCAGTGGAGTTTCATGGATTTATAACTGAAGAATTCATTCCCCCCCACCTTTCAGTTCGTTGAAATGGCAGCCACTCTATATCCAACCCTCAGTCGATTCGCCTTGCAGTTTCCTAGCTTGTTTCCCGTTCTTCGTAAGCAACCTCAACTCCTCAAACTTTGCCGGAGCTTCCGCTTGCCCCGCCGATCCACTACACTTTATTCTAACTCACAGCGGTCTTTCACAGTCAACTCATTGAGCTCTCCAGGTAAATTATTAAATTTATTGGTCAATTCGTCTTGTTTTCTCTGTGAGACATTTTGTCGAACAGAGCAGCACGAAATTAAGAGAGTTTAGCTTCAAAGTTTTTTTTTTTTTTAATGATTATTTTGGTACTGCGATTGTGCTCTTGCTGAAAAAGTACAGTTTTTTCAGAGCCATATAGCTATGGTGAAGTGGGCAATGAGAGATATGATGTGATTGTCGTGGGAGGAGGTCACGCCGGCTGCGAAGCAGCTTTGGCTTCGGCTAGACTTGGCGCGAAAACACTGCTTCTTACACTTAACATTGACCGCATTGCGTGGCAGGTAACTAACTAAATATTCAGGTTTCAGATTTATACTCTTTGATGTGAAGAATTTTTCTTTTATGCCGTCTTAGTACTTTCGTGTCTTAGAAAATTTGACTGTTTTGCTCTGTTTTACGGAAATATATCACTGTTCATCCATGTGTGCCTTTTAAAGAATTCTTGGAGAGTTATTGTGGGTGTTAATCCATTCATCAATTTTTGTTTTCTATTTGCTTAGTAAAATTGGCAAATTTAATTTTATGTTTTGAAAAAATGCTTTTTTTTTTTTTTTTTTGGTCCCACAGGAGTAATTAAGGATTGTCAATAACAATTTATGATCTGTTATACCAAAATTTCAATTCTATTTTTATGTTTTTTCTTTATTGAAAGGACTGACAGGTTTGAAGAAATATCATAATGCTGCATTTTTCCCTTTCTTTTTGGTTATTTTTCAAAACTAATTACAAATACATTGTTTCCTTTTTAATTTTTTTTTTATTAACATTGTTAAGAACAGTTTCTTTATAGACTGTTTTAAATATTTTCTTTTTCTTAATTCTGGTCATCTGGTTTTCTGATCTTCAGTGTCTTTAGAGTTTAGAACCAGTTATATTTGTAATTCAGAATGTCCTGTTGATTTTTCATGTTTCTATATTACAGTAATACATAGTTAAAGGACAGAATCTGTTAGTTAAATTAAATGTCTTATTATGTGTTTTTATTTACTGAGCAAGTGAGCATCTATGCTTACTTGATCCTTGAGTTTGTTTATGTCCTTGGATTCAGTAAGTAATTGAAATCCTTGCAGCCTTGTAACCCAGCTGTTGGTGGGCCTGCAAAGTCCCAGCTCGTACATGAAGTGGATGCACTAGGTGGTGAAATTGGAAAGGTAGCTGACAGGTAAATCCCAAGTAACTAAGAAATTATCTTATAATGCTTGAGGGAGCAAAGACTGAAGTATATTAGCCTTCCTGCTGAAACAGAGGCCAAGATGTACTCCCATGAACTTAATGGGAGGTTTTTTGAATGTGGACTTTCATTTGTGTTAGGGAAATATGTTAGCTCAGTATACAAACAAGATGAGTTTTACGAGGCAAAAAAAAAAAAAAAAAAAAAAACCATATAAATTAATGTAGTAAATAACTAGCTAGTCTTGTATTTGCTGGCAACCTTGAGGTCTACTTAAAATGATTATTCAGCTAAGTAGTTGAAGGTCTTAAGGTTGTACCCCCTTCTAAATCTTATAACTTAGCCTGCCAATTCCAAAGATAAAACCTTTGTTGCTGCAGCCAGCAGTCCTGTAATGGATGCCTTTAGTTTAGATAGGGAACTCAATTCTTCAAGCTCCATTTAGTTTTCAAGTACTGATGCCACACTTGTATTCTTCTTCAGATGCTATCTGCAGAAACGTATTCTCAACATCTCCAGAGGTCCGGCTGTCTGGGCATTGCGTGCACAAACTGATAAGAGGGAGTATGCTTTGGAAATGAAAAAGATTGTAGAGAGGCAAGTTTATTCAACCCCACTATTAAAAAAAAAAAAAAAAATCAATACACAGATAGTTTTCTATTTAAGCTCCATCTATGAGAATGGAACCATGTGAAAAAGTCTTGGGATAATATGGATTTTAGTTTTCATTTGTTATCATTAGAGATTTAGGCAAGAGATTAGCAATTTAGCATGAACTACTTGGTTCTGTGTTGAGCCATTAACCAAGCTTGAGGTGTCTCTTTAGCTCTAATTCCCATTTGTTTGACTTTTGAGGATCACAAGGCCAGTGAGCCCTTTCTGTATTTGTTGGTTTTTTTTTCTATAAATATGGAATCACTTTTATGCCCTGAGCATTTATAATACTAAAATCCTAAGCTCTTTAGCATTCTTCTAGTGATCTTTGTAGTAGCGCATAATGCCAGCTTGCATGCTGATGTTGAAGCCTAGTCAGTTTATTTTGTTGAGTTTGTTAGTACGTGCAGTTAGTTGGCTGCCTAGCTGTGCTGGGTATTGAATAAATGTATTGGTGTTGACTTCATTTGAATCATACAGTTTTTCCTTCTTCCTTCACTGGCTCTCTCTTCTCTCTTCTGCTGAATAATTCGTTACTTTGTGTGTGTGTGTACCTTTTTTGGCTTTTCTCAGAGTAGGATTTATATGTTTGCTGACAAATAGTTATTGAAGCACCTAGAAAAAGTTCAACTGCAGTCGGTTACACACTTGAAAAGACATAAAGCATATGTATGAAGTATATGCAGTCATGTATGCATAGCATGTCATCTTGTGTCTACCCGTTTTGTGTATTTTCTTCTAACTAATGATTCCCATTTCAGCACCCCAAACCTCTACATTAGAGAGGCAATGGTTATAGATATTTTGCTGGGGAAGAATGACAATATAGAAGGTGTTAGCACATTCTTTGGGATGAACTTCTATGCACCTTCTGTGGTTCTTACTACTGGAACATTTATGAGTGGAAAAATATGGGTTGGTAGAACTTCAATGCCTGCAGGGAGAGCTGGTGAATCAGCTTCACATGGTTTGACAGAAAATTTACAGCGCCTTGGATTCGAGACTGATAGACTGAAAACTGGCACACCTGCACGTGTAGATTGCCGTACAGTAGACTTCTCCCAATTGGAGCCTCAGTATGGAGATGAAGAGGTCTGTTCAATTATCAATTAATAAATAGGTAGGCTCTTTAGATCATGCATGCTGACCATGTTGAGCTTTAGTCCATTATCCCTAGAAAATAAGTGTTTCCATAGTTGCCATTAGCAGTGTAACAAGTGTCTTTTAGATGCCTTTAGTGTCTCATGTGATCCACAATGATGATGTTAAACAAAGCACACCAATTAGAGATAGACATGCTCACAGAAGTATTGGGACACTTCCATATTTGCTGATCTCTATAAACCTCATTCTGATGCTCTGCCATGATAACTGCAAAAATTCATAATTACCAATAGTTGGCACGCTATGAGATGTAGAAACTGCTGGAATACCAGATTAAGTATTGTTGAAATCACCCTATCTAGATGGGAAATCTTCCAACAGTCTGAAGAATGAACTCCATTATTTGTGCATGTGTACAAACTACAAACTGAAGCACATTATCTATTTCATCTACACTTCCTGACCACGAAGCTATTTATGTCTCTGCATATTCTTGGATTGGCCCTGAACTCCTGAAGTGGACTAGGCGACTAGCTATATATACTTAGGGTTGGCTGAAATTTATCCAAACAGCTATGGATACTTTTAATTGCTGTCTTTTTTACTATCACTCTGCTAAAATCATTAGGATAGTTTAAAATATGATGTGGATGATATCATTTGATCCTGTATTATATTCTTGCTATTGATGTTGAAAAGCTAATGTGTATATTATTCAGGTTAGCTGGTTCAGTTTTGATCCTGATTTCCACATAGAAAGGGAGCAGATGTGTTGCCATCTTACACGTACCACAAAGAAAACTCATCAGCTAATTAAGGATAATTTGCATGAAACTCCCACTTATGGAGGATGGGTTGAGGCCAAGGGACCTCGGTACTGCCCCTCCATCGAGGACAAAGTATGCTTCATATTCTTCTAGAACAAGTTTCCTCCCTTTGGATTTGTAGCATCTGATTTCTATATTTTAATTCATGCCCATTGTCCATGAAATGGAGTTCCATAGGAATGACTAGACTTTGGGTCAAATATCGGGTGGAAGTTATCTCTTGTATATTTATGCTCATGCTGATGATAAATTGTTCCTTACCCCTTTCCCTCCAGAATGGCCCATAGATCCATTCATCTTACATTAATTGATTAAGACAAAATGAAACTTGGATAATTTTTACCATATCATTATTGAATCTAGAACCATAACAGATAGTTTTTGGCTTCTTTTTCTTGCCCGGGAGAAAGAGAGGGCGGGGAGGGGGGGGGGGGGGGGGTGGTTAGATTTCTTTACTTGAATGAAGGTTAGTGGCCCTTTCACAAAGAAACTTGGATAATTTTCCGCCATATTATTATTGAATCTAGAACCATACCAGATGCCTTTTGCTTCATTTTGGGTGAGAAAGAGGGAGCGGGGGGTGGGAGGTTACTTGAATGAAGATTAGCTGCCCTTCCACTTGAAATTGGTTATCTATTTTCGTTTACTTTGGAATGTTTTCCTGATTCAGATAGAAATTTTGTTTCCATTTCATATCTCAGGGCCATTTGCTCTTGTGATATAGCTTACTGTTTTGTTCACTAGATTGTACGATTTCAAGATAAAGAGTCTCATCAGATATTCCTTGAACCAGAGGGTCGGAGTGTTCCTGAGCTCTATGTGCAGGTTTACTTCTGTTCTAGTTGGTTTTGTTTCCATTATTTGAAAACATTTACTACTGTTCTAAATGTCATCTTTTTGTTTCATCCTATTCCTTTTTACCCTTTGGTTGATAGATCTCAAAATATGTTTTCCGAATGAGGGTTGCATGATTGCGGGCTTGATTACTGCTAAAATGACAATGATAATGGCTTTTTTTTTTGGTTAAAGATGAGAATTCCTATTAATGATGTTATCCAGTTCAATGAAGTGCTTTCATTTCTCTAAATGCTTTAGTTTGATCAATTTCTGTAATTAATTCACAGGGATTTTCTACTGGTTTACCCGAAAGATTGCAGTTGCCACTTTTACAGACATTACCTGGACTTGAGAACTGTGCAATGCTGAGGCCAGCTTATGCTGTAGAGTATGATTACTTGCCTGCGTATCAGTGTTCTAGGTCTCTGATGACCAAAAAAATAGGAGGACTTTTCTTCTCAGGCCAAATAAATGGGACAACAGGTTATGAAGAAGCTGCTGCACAGGTTTGTATTTTCATCAGTTTCCTTGGTAAATGGGACAATAAATGAGGACTTTTCACAATTACATTATGTAGCAAGGCCATTGTGATTGCTCTCTAATTGGGTTCCATTGTATTTTCTTCACTTTTTTTCTTTTTGATAGGGAATTATTTCTGGGATTAATGCTGCTAGACATTCTGATGGCAAATCCCTTATTGTTCTAGAGAGGGAAAGCAGTTATATAGGGACATTGATTGATGATCTGGTAACGAAAGATCTCCGAGAGCCTTACCGCATGTTGACTAGGTAATAAATAGCCAACTTTATGTTGTTGCAATAAGCTGTAGTTATCTTGGTAAATACCAGTTATTTTCCACAATATATAGAGTGGAACTTCATTCCTTGAAGAATTGAAGGTAAGCGGTGTTGAGTTATGCACAACATGTTGAAGCATAAAATTGAAATGGACATCTTAATTTTTCAATTTGATTCTACAATCTACATCAAATTAAAGATGCAAGTTCATTACCTCTTATAGCCTGTCAAGCTCTTTGGTGTAGAATCATGTCACCCCAATCACAATCGACCAAGTGTCCTACCTCCAGTCTGTTCACCTGACCATGTGCTAACCAATAGAACCCTTTCTCCTTGTATAGTGAGGGTAACTAAGATGATGGTTTATAGTGTGTAACTTCTTATTTATTTTTATAATACTTCAGCCGCTCAGAACATCGTTTGCTTCTTCGCTCTGATAATGCTGATAGTCGCCTGACCCCCCTTGGTCGTGAAATTGGGTTGATAGATGATAGACGATGGGCTCTGTACGAGGACAAGCAAACTCAAATATTGGAAGAAAAGAAGAGATTGAAGACCGTCAGGGTTTCAGGTCCTTGATCATATCTACCATATTGCTTGCATTTTGCGGTATTGTCCATATTTTAAAATTTTGTAATGAGAGGGATGAGTTTTCCAAAGTAATAAGTCAAACGAGATCTCATGGTTAACAACACATGCACCTAACTTTAACATTTACTTACTCTGATAGACTTTAGCTCTTTGCTTTCAGGCGGGGATTTAGCTACAGAAATTACACTTATCTCTGGTCAGACAGTTAGGGATTCATCAACTTTGGAGAGCCTCCTTAAGAAACCTAATGTGCAATATAAACTCTTTGATAAGCATGGTTTTGGAAATCAATTCCTATCCAAAGAAGAGAAACAGTGCGTAGAAATTGACATCAAATATGAAGGCTTCATTGCTCGCCAGCAAATCCAACTCCAACAGGTTGGCTAACTACCTCCTGCCATTCTCTTTCATATAACTAATACATTCCATATTCTTAAGCAAGCTCTAATGCATAATATATGGTATATTCCTTTGATTGCTTGACCTTTTTCTGCTTCTAGATGGCTCGTCAACAGCATAAACCAATCCCCGAGAACATTGATTATTATTCTATGACCACTTTGTCACTTGAAGCACGTGAGAAACTCTCAAAGGTATCCTTCTAAAATGACTCATTGATGGTTAATATCCTGCCCGATGCCTGTCTATCTATGCATTCTGATTGTTATCATATCGACACAATACCATCCTATTAAGTAAAACAAAAAGGCACAGGTCCTAAAACCGTTCATATATCAGTTTATGTACACACATGTATACAGGTATGGGTTTAATTGGAATATTCAGAAAGAAATTGTCAAGCCATTGACATACAATGTGTTCTTTAATATAGGTCAGGCCTCAAACCATTGGGCAAGCAAGTAGAGTAGGTGGAGTAAATCCTGCGGACGTTACAGCACTTGTTATCATTCTTGAAACCAACAAAAGGAAAGCCCAGGAGCTTCTTAGGCAACAGAAAGAACCTCTTCCTCCCACTGTCCTTGATGCAGGCGACAAAGTTTCTGAGAATCCTCTTACAGAGTCGGTCTGCACCTGAAATCCACTTTTTGGTACGGCTAGTTTGTTAATCGAGTGAAACATCAATGGAGCTTAGTTGTAGGGTAGGGTGGGTGAAAATCTTGATTACCGCTCAATTTTTCTCATACTCATTTTTGTTTTAGTCTACTGCTAAGACAGTGGGGATTTTTGATGTGTATATATATAGTCACATACATGCTGAACAACAGTTCAGTGTATAAATGAACAGTTTATATAAGTTATAATCAACAACTTGTTTACCATGGGCATGCCTTTTAACTGTTGAGAATCCAGAGTAACAGTGTTCACAAACATCTCATGTGAAGAAAAATGCTTTGATAAGACCTATACATCAAAATGACAAGTTGAAGAGGTATTTTTGTGCAAATTATAATATTAAATTAATTATTTCGTAGTTAATTAACTACTTAAAGAGTGAAAAAAAAAACATATATATATATATATATATATATATATATATATATATATATATATATATATATATATTTTGGATCAAAGGGAGGGAGACCCCTTATTGGTTTCCCACTCTGATTCTTCTAGGCTTCGTAGCTCTTAGGCAGTCCTCGTAGCCCGAGTTCTTTCCATGCATCTACTTCCTGCCAATAGGAGTAACCAAAGTTCTGATTCCGATTCTAATTCTGGTTCAATTTCAGTTCAGAACCACTAATTCTAATCGTGATTTTTTTTTTTTTTGGGCTCTTGGCGCAAAGGCCAAACTTTAGCCTTTGCGCCACAGCCCACAGCTACAGCTGTCAATCGTTATGTTGTGCATCTGTGTACATCGTGCATGGTGCAAAAGGAATGCACAACATAACGATTGACAGCTGTAGCTGTGGGCTGTGGCGCAAAGGCTAAAGTGGTGCACACGGATGCAAAAACGACGCCGTTTTGACTAAAAACGTGCGTCATACTTAAAAAAAAAAAATCAGTTTCAATTCCCCTCAACAGCATTATGTTGTTCATTGATTCTGGATTTTTAGTTCATTGATTCTGGATTTTTAGTTCATTGATTCTGAATTTTTAGTTCATTAATTCTGGATTTTTAGTTTATTGGTTCTGGATATTTAGACGGAAATTGAAACTGGTTTTTTTTTTTTTTTTCATTCATGCTGGATATTTAGTTCATTCATTACGGATTTTTAGTTTATTCATTCTGGATTTTTAGTTCATTCATTATGGATTTTTAATTTATTGATTCTGGATTTTTAGTTCATTGATTCTGGATATATAGTTCAAATTATGCACAACATAATGCTGTTGCCGGGAATCAAAACTGATTTTTTTTAAGTGAACGCGCGTTTTTAGTCAAAACGACGTCGTTTTTGTATCGGTGTGCGCCATGCATGGTGCACACGGATATGCACAGCATAATTTGCCTACAGCTGTGACTTGTGAGCTGTCTCATTGCCCACGACAAATTATGTCGTGCAACCGTGTGCATGCGCGTCGTTTTGATTAAAAACGACACCGTCCTACTTTTAAAAAAAAATCATTTTCAATTGTCATTAACAACGTTATGATGCGCATAATTTGAACTATATATCCAGAATTAATGAACTATATATCTAGAATTAGTGAACTATATATCCCACCGGTTATTGGTACTCTGTTTGGGCTTATGGCAGTTCGCTGCGTCTGTGTATTCAGAATGAATGAACTACATATTCAGAATTAATGAACTATAAATTCAAAATTAGTGAACTATATATTCAGAATTAATGAACTATATATCTAGAATTAGTGAACTATATATCCAGAATTAATGAACTATATATCCAGAATTAATGAACTATATATCCACACCGGTTACTGGTACTCTGTTTTGGCTTATGGCAGATTGGAGTTTTTTTTTTTTTTTTTTTTTTTTTTTAAATTGATTGGTGGAGTTAAACGGTGCCACTAACGGTATCGTTACTCCACCATAATGAAACGGCGTCGTTCACAACCGTGTGCACCACGGTTGCACAGCATAACGATTACTACCCACTGCCCAATGTGGCAGTGCGATAGTATGTTGCAGGCCTGCACTTATAACTTGTTTTTTTTTTTTTCTTTTTTCAGTTTGGAACTGAAACCGTTCGGTTTCGAATTGGAACCGGTGATTCCGGTTCCTTTATTAATAAAACCTTAATCGGAACCTTATTAGTTCCGATTAAGAACCGAAATCGTACGGACAGTTCGATTCCGATTCTGATTTCGATTTAACAATGCACGGTTCAATTTTAACCGTCCAGTTTGAATCGAACCGTGATCATACATATCTGCTAGCGTGTTAAGTGTTAACCAGTATTGAACATCTTTTTTTTTTTTTTTTTTTTTTTTTTTTTTGTGTTCAAATATTCCAAAGTTAGAATTTCTTATACATCTTTATCTAGGCCTGTGCAACGGACGGGTTCGCGGAAGGCTAATCCGATCGGACTTCGGATACCCTATTCTAGTATCTAACCGTTTATTTTCCCACCTAATTCCGTCGGATATTGTTCCAAATTACCGTTCGGATATCCGACTCAACCGTCCGATATATCGGTTATTGATGATAAAAGTGTAAGTGCAAAAATAATAAATTTATTTAACAAAAAGAACTTATTTTTAATAGTTAACCACTTAAGTAGTCTAAAATACAGAACTACTTAAGTAGTAAAAGTGTAAGACACTTCACAAGTTCACAGTTTCAACTTACAAATTAAAATTTACATTCATAACTCATAAGCATTTACTGATTACAGACTAACTGACTAAGCAATTAAGCATACAAAAATACAAAAACACTGAAGTTCAGATATTAAGCAGTAAGCAATTAAGCTTTAATCCAAGCCTCCAAAACTTGAAAGTCCAATGTCCAAGCCACCAAGCATCAGCATCAGCAGTCAGCAACTCAACATTCATAAAAAAGAATACCAGTAGACCCTAATAATATGATAATAACCTAATAATATGATAATAACCTATTTGGCTATTCCTCTTCCTGATAAGTAAAAACACAAAACTTTTATAAGCTTTAAAATATATAAACTTTAAAGTTTAAACAATTGAACATGAATGAGTTATGAATATAAATTTTAGAGTGCTCAGATTGTTTTTTTTTTCCAATATGAGTATGGCACAAAACACCACACTACATAGGCAACATGCCAAACCCAATTCTATATATTCAGAAAACATGGTAGAAGCATCATCATTGCACAAGGGGCCAAAGACAATTAAGTAATTAACAATAAGTCAATAACAGAGATATGGAGACTTGAGAGAAGTGAAGCCATATACATTACTAGGGATGTTCAAACCCGACCCAACCCGACCAACCCGTCCGATCCGATATCCGAAACCACCTCATCCGACCCGCCCGTGGTCCGATTAGCCATATCCGAACCGAAGGCATAAACGACGTCGGATAAAGGAGGTCGGATAGGGTTTGGTTTTTTCCCATCCGACCCGTCTGACAATCCGATCTAACCTAGGGTTAGGTTTTATGTGTATGCTAGACGACGTCGTATGAGGTGAGTATATATGTATGTTGAAGCCCTTGTGAAGCCAGATGCGCAGACCTACTCTTCTGATTCTTCTCTGAGACTCTCTCACTCTCAGATCTCTTCTCTCGTTCTCTGCTCTCTACTCCTCTCAATCTCATCCTCTCATTCCTTTGAGTCTCTCACAGTCTCACCTCTCTCTAGTCTGTACTCTCTGAGACTGAGAGTCTGACTGTATGAGACTCTGAGTCTCTGTGGACTGTGGAGTCTTCGACTGTCCGATTGTCCGATTGTCCGGTGGGCGACTAGTGGAAGCCCTTCTCGAGTTGGTGGTGGAACGTGGACTGGTGATTAGAGGCCCTTGTTCTCCGGGGAATATTAAGGGGAAACCAAGTAAATCAGAAACCCTAGTTTTTGTTTTTGTGATCTGTTGATTCTTTCCTCTCTGTATGTTCATATGCTCGTATATTTGTGTTAGATTATGCTATGTTGTGTTCTATTCTCTGATCTATTATGGTGGAAGCAGAAACCCTAGTTTTTGTTTTTGTGATCTGTTGATTCTTTTCTCTCTGTATGTTCATATATGCTCGTATATTATTGTTAGATTATGCTATGTTGTGTTCTATTCTCTGATCTATTATGGTGGAAGCAGAAACCCTAGTTTTTGTTTTTGTGATCTGTTGATTCTTTTCTCTCTGTATGTTCATATGCTCGTATATTATTGTTAGATTATGCTATGTTGTGTTCTATTCTCTGATCTATAAAGGTGGAAGCAGAAACCCTAGTTTTGTACCTGTGGTTTGTGTGGACTATGATATTGTAATCTGTTGAGAAGTTCCAGATTGCATCTCACTTGTCTCTAATTTTGTACTTGTGATTTGTGTGGACTATGATATTGTAATCTGTTGAGAAGTTCCAGATTGCATCTCACTTGTCTCTAATTTTGTACTTGTGATTTGTGTGGACTGTGATATTGTAATCTGTTGAGAAGTTCCAGATTGCATCTCACTTGTCTCTAATTGTGTACTTGTGATTTGTGTGGACTGTGATATTGTAATCTGTTGATACTTGAGAAGTTCCAGATTGCATTTATTGGTGGAAGCCATTAAATGTTCAAATAAAAGTTAAAGGCTGTAATGTGAAATTATCAAGTTTCAAACTTGAAATTTCCATTTATTGGTGGAAGCCATTAACTGAAATCCAGATAATGATGAATTGGATACAATTCATGAATCTGGATTTCTTTCATTATTTGAGTATGTTTATGGATGTATTACCCTTAATTGAAGCTTTGAATGTAAATATGTAAATATGAAAATGTGAAAATGTGAAATCTTGATACATGATGACACAAAAAGTGTCTGAATCCAGATTTTTTTGTATGTTTATGTGAATGTGATTGTTGGCTTGTTGCCTTTGCTGAGTAAATATATACTTCTTAAATCATTTCTTTTTTACTTTTGTAACCTGTAAGTCTAGAACTAACTACTTATACTTAACTGTTTTGCAGAGTTACCCACTGGAGCTGGAACTACTCTACCATCAATGCTGCCATCCATTCCTGTAATGTTTTCAGTAATTATTATTTGTTTAACTAATTATTTATCTTTATATGTTATGGTGTTGTACTATTGTTTGCTGATGACCTTCACAAGATGAAACTCTAAGAGTCTTAACAGTCTAAGTGGCTTGGCAACTTTCTATAATTATATTATAGCAATGTTGCCCCACTTAGAGTTGAGCAGTATTCACTATTCAGTACTGATGTCTCAT